AAAAAAAAGTCAAAAGTTGCTTTTTGTAACGAGAGCTGCGAAAAGTTGCTCCAAAAGAGCAAAAAACAAAATTTTGTTGCTCTCTTCCTTTAGATCTCATTCTTATTTCATAAGTTGCTCGAAATACAAGAAGTTACCAAAAAGTTGTGAAAAGCCCTATTTACATTGTTCTGTCATCTGTGATAAAAAACCAACAAACAAACAAACAAACAAAAAAAATCAGTTTTTCCTTTTAAAGGAGCTGAGTAAAGGTAGTGTGAGTAATGTTGTTCACATACAAAATTACCTTTAAATTGAAGGAAACACGAAAATCGTAGTTTACTTAGATAGAAAAACACCAAAAAGATAACAATAAGCTCCGGCATAGAGGAACAAGGATGGTTAAGGATGGAAAAGATTAACACGAATTACAAACGACGAACTTGAAAAGTTTAGGCTCACCTTTTCAAGATGCGCAAACCTCAACGTAGCTCCTTTAACACGCTAATACGTCACACCTTGCACGCAACACGCCGCACACCACACGAAAAAAATCACACACCACGCGAAAAGCATTACATGCCACACGCATCAACAACTATGCTGTTGCTTCAAGCTGAACATTTCCGGAGTAAATGAGTCTTAAATTTATGTCACACCCTTTTATGATACAGCGCCTAATCAGGAATAAACTCAAAGGTTGGTCCTGCGTTCGGCCCTACTGTTGGGTCTCCATCTTGTTCCAGTGGTGTGCGGACAAGCCTCTTCAGATGCCTGTCTATTGAAAACATTAATCCCACTGCATCACCGAATTTTTCTGGGTGGCCATTAAACGCTACATCTAGGGATCTGAGGAGGTTTGTGTAAAGCCTGTTGAATTCTCTGTTCAAGACGTCTGCTTGAGAGCCTGGTACGAACTTTCTCAGGCGGGGATTATTGACCATGGGCCACACACCATCCGGATCAAAGAAAATGTCAGATCCATTGAAGAAATACTCCCCCTGACAGACCTAAAAATGAACAATAATTAAGAAAAGGTTTTAACTGAAGATGATTTTACTGAAGAGTAAGATAACAGTCTACATACGAGCCAAGTGGCCCACCAGGCTGGCGCGTATCTCCAGTTTCTGTAGCATGAAGCGACCAGGAGTATTTCTACTCCCCCCTGGATGGGATGCTAGTCCATCGCAAAGCTACCCCCAGCATTAAATTCACCGGTACTCATTAATACACCTGGGTGGAGAGAGGCACTGTGAGAGTTAAGTGTCTTGCCCAAGAACACTACACAATGTTCCCGGCCAGGGCTTGAACCCAGACCGCTCTATCCGGAGACGAGCACACTAACCACGAGGCGACCGTGATGGTTGACGATGGTTGGGAGCCAATTAAGTGACGGTAATTACAAAGCTTTATTATATACAAATTTCCCAATTATCGTTATGTCATCACAAAGGGTTATGAATGATTACTGATTAGTCGTGACGATCACGTGACGGTCCTGTGATTGCCAAGAAGGGTATGAAGGTGATAACCGTCAAGGGTTTTACCAACGCTCTGATTTTGAAAACGAAAGACCATTTCATCAATCTGAATCGTCCAATTCGTAACCAAAGTGCTTAGACCTAATCTTACAGGCCTGGAAGTTTCTTTTTCGTTGGTGAGTCGTAGCGGGGGAGGGGGTGTTTCTTCGTGCCTCACCCTGGTTTATCTCTAAAAGTACCGCCTCAATAACAATCTAAATTACATGGAATGTAAAGCATCCAAACAAAGATGGGCAAGGGAGATGCCGATTTCAAGTGGTTTTGGATTTGTAGATTATAGCGCATTGCATTAGTTTCTGTAACCTATACCGGTGGTGTTGAACTTTTAAAAGTCATTTACAAAGATCTGAATTAAAAAAAATACTAACCTTGAAGAACCGCATGGACTCAGAATTCGAATCACTGCTTATGTTGTAAACCTTTATCTTATGCCTTTCAACAATGGACTTGAACAGGAAGTAATGGGATAGATCACCTTTGTTGTTTGACCAGTCCAGTGGATTACAAGGTGAGCTCCCTTCCCCCTCCGTGATAATCTCTTCGATGGCTCGCTTTGCACTTTCGAAATCGGTTACAGCGAATAATCTTCCATAACGGCCAAAGTGAAAATCAAATGACAGTTGCTTGGACTTATCTCCGGAGAATATGGTCTGGTTTGTACCATTGTTAGTCAAAAAGGTCAAAGCATTTAGAATGTGTTCGTAGAATTCCCCTATTGTGTTGTAGTGTTTGTGAAATATTGGCTTTGTCAGCTCTCCAGGGTAGCTGTGGCCCCCCTTCATCTGGAAAGAACCAAACAAGACAGATTAGTGATTGCATTGTTTTATTTGCTGTTGTTGTTCTCAGACGCTGCTGCGTTTTCCAGTTGTTGTTTTTTTTGCATGCGTTAGTGTTTTTTGTCCTGCAGGAATCATTAAAATTATTAACGCGTTCAGTGCTAGCGTTGCTCTCTTGCGTTATGCCTACTTGCGTTATGCTTACTTGCGTTATGCCTAGTAGCGTTATGCATACTTGCGTTATGCCTCGCTGCGTAATGCCTACTAGCATTATGCCTCTTTGCGTAATGGCTCCTTGTGTTAGGCCTCTTTTCGTCATGCCTGCTTACGTTATGCCTACTTGCGTTACGCCTTCTTGTTTTATACCTCTTTCGTTATGTCTGCTTGCGTTATGCCTACTTACGTTACACCTACTTGCTTTATACCTCTTTGCCTTATGCCTCTTTACGTTACGCCTACTTGGTTTATACCCCTATGCGTTATGCCTGCTTGCGTTATGCCTACCTGCGTTACGCGTACTTGCTTCATACCTCTTTGCGTTATTCCTCTTTGCGTTACGACTATTCGCAGAATCAGCTTGTTGCCATTCGGCTTTGGCATGAAGCATTCATAATTGCGATGATTTTATTTCAATTACTGAGTATTGAAGTTTCTCATAGATATACC